ATATTTTAGGTATCGTGATCAATGCTGATGATGTCACACAAATAACAACTAAAACAACTAACAGACAGGTTGGTTTTAGTTCCAATTTTTTTTTTAATTTCGGAATCTAAGAATTTACTTTAGCTCTCTAATTCTATTTAAAATATTTTTAGGTTTCTAAGAGGGACATTACTCTATTGGACAGATCAGAGAAGAGTGTGAGAGCAACTCTTTGGGGAGAAGAGGTAATGACCCTGAGATATGAATTTTCTCTGCTCCCTATTTAATCCAGGGATAAACACAATTTAATGGAATAATAAGTCAATAATTACTCTTTATGTTGTTAGAAACCTAAGTTAAGCATGGTTTAACTGCTGATTATCATCATTAAGATGTTAAAGGGCAAAGGAACTGTTAGTAGTATATTAGGACAGCTATCTCTTATACATAAGGGAACTTTGAGAGTGGTGAGAGAGCACAGAAGCAGAAGAGTTATGTATCTTGTGTGTGTTACATTAAATCTGTTGCTTTGGAGCTTTTGTGGTGTACCTGTGTGGTGTACAACACTATGTTAACCTTGCTTTGATGTATTCAGCATGTGTTCTATTTATTAAGATTCTTTGATCCAACAAAATAATTCATTTACCTTATGAACTTTAAATTCAAACCAACTTTTGGTATCAGGACAAAAATTTTTCTCAAAATTAATCTCTCTGCTATTGGTTAACAGGCTGAGACGTTTGATGAGTTTGTTGGAAAGTTTCCTGTTCTTGCCCTAAAAGGGGCAAAAGTCTCAGATTTTGGAGGTATGTAGAAATTGATGTTGAATAAGTCAAGTCTAGGAGTTACCCTTTATTTGGAGGAAGTTTTAATCATGAGTATAGCTTCCTCCCCCCCATGCCTGCAACTAGTTGTATTTATTGTTCAGTGACATTCCTTGAAATCACTTTGTCATATTAACTTTTTCCAGGACGCTCCTTGTCAATCTTGGGTTCAACAAATATGAGGATAAACCCTATGGACCTACAAGAGGCTCATAGCTTGCGTGGATGGTAACTTTTCAAGTTGTGTCAATATTTTGAAAACTTGTGTGGGTTTAATTTTAACTAATATATCTTTATTTGGATTTTTTACAGGTATGATAATGTTGGTAAAGATTCAAATGTAGAGTCTCTCTCTGGGCTCAGATCTGATGGAGGAGGTTTGGGTTGCTGTTCTTTTTTTTTCTTGTATTATTTCATTTAACTTTGAAATTATATTGAGTCTTGAAATGATGAAGGAAACAGTAAGTTTGCTACAAATATTAAAGTTAGACTGCTACAGAAGGTTTAGCCAGTGAGTTCACCTACAGGAGATCTTCTGTCACAGGTTTAAAATATTGCAGGTAATTTAGTGTCAACAACTGGGTTGAAAACGTAAATTAGCCACCGTAAAGGGTAAAAAAGCTGACGTTTTGAGCGTTAGCCCTTCATCAGAGCGATTAGAGGAATTGTGGGTTGTGTGTGGATTTATATGTAGAAAGTGGAGCTACGCCATTGGTGGGAATATGGTGACAAGACGGTATACAGGTATACTCTCACTAGAAACTTGGGGGTTCCCCTCAGGGAGGTGTGATATTACAACTAAAGTAGTTCTTTCACTTGTACTATTAGGCTTTGCATGAACACAAATCAAATAATTGTGAAATTAAATTAATGTCCTCCAAAACAAAAATTAGAAAAGAAGACTAAAAACAAAAATTTTTTTGTTGATGTTTTCTTCCATCAGGTTGTGGTTACAAAACCTTCTTTCAGATGGATCATGAAAACCTTGGTATGGGGGACAAGGTAACAAAGTACTTAGAGTGTTTGCTTCATATTTTATTTGCATGATGATGAATTCATATTTGAAGGCTCATAAATAGTAAATTTTGATGATGAATGAGACTATGGGTAACATTTGATCATGCATTGTGACTGAGGTAGCATTGCATAGAAAATCACTGTTTTTGGTAGCAACCTCTGACATTCCAACAACCTGACTGAACATTACATGTAGCATCATAGGGTGATCATAGTCATTGATAATCTGATCAGTTACTGCTCTGGCAAACTGTTGTTTCTAGTACTACTCTTACCTGGCCAATCTCATTTCATGGTTATTTCATTCTTTGATTATGTTTGACTTCTGCAGGCTGACTATTTCACATCAAAGGCCACTGTTTTGTACATGAAGAAAGACAACTGTTTGTACAAGGTAAGAAAAATAATTACAACTTGCTATGTTTGTTTAATTTCATCTCTAAGCAAAGAACAATTTTTCTTTAAGAACTTTCTTGAAGAAGGAAAATTGATACTTTGCTGATTTTAAAAGTGTAATTTCTATCATTGACATGGTACTTTTGCATGTTACTTTAAATCATGTAGACCTGAGCAATCCAAATTAATGATTCCTCCTTTCATTTCCTTGTGCCAGTATAAACACCTTTCTTACATCCTTTGTGAAAGTAGATGACATCTTCTGTGAAAGTTTCTGTCTTTCCTCTTTAGGCATGCCCTACTACAGAATGTAACAAGAAGGTTATTGATGAGGGAGATGGTAATTATCGCTGTGAGAAGTGTAACAAGACCTACCCTAACTTCAAGTATCGCTTGATGTTATTAGTGAGTTTTATTTTAAGACTTTACTGATGATGCTTTCCTATAATCATTATGAGTTTTCTTGATGTCATGTTTTCATCCCCACTCAGACAAACTTGGCGGATTTCACTGGTAACCATTGGGTTACCTGTTTCCAGGAAACAGCTGAGTTGCTTCTGAAAATAACTGCAGATGAACTGGGTCAGATGCGAGACTCGGTGAGTAAGACAAGGTGTTTTGTTTTGTTTTGTTTTTTTTCAAACACTATTTTAAGACCACCAAAGGATTGGTTGAAAGCAGATTGCTCCATTGTATTCTTAAAGTGGTCCTTATTCAATTTGAATTTGCCATTGATGTCCTAGTTTTAGATCTTTTGAACAATGCCATCTTGTGTAGAAAGACCTTTGTACAATACTGTATCTTAAATGTAACAAGTTATTATTATTTTTTTTTGTTGTTGTTCTTTGAAGGGGGATGAGTGTTCCTTTGATCAAATTTTCCAAGAGGCAAACTTCAAGACATACATTTTCAAGATTCGAGCAAAGATGGAGACATACAATGTAAGGGCGTTCCTTAAAAATTTAGGCACAACTAGAACATATTGCATTGCTGTGTTTGTTATTGCTTTTCACTTAAATGTATTTGCTACCTATATTTCAAGTATAAGTTCTTGGTGGCTTTTTGGTAATTTTTAGAAATACATCCTCCTCTGTGCAAGTGTCCATGCCAAATCCTCAAAGGGGAGAGGCAATAGAAAGAATAAAATTTTATGGTTCACTTTTCATCAATTTGGAAAGAGATCCTTTAAATTCAAACACTTGATATAATTAATGCATTTTTATCAGTACTTAGGCAATTCTTTTTATTTTTTTGTTTTTGTTTTTGTTTTTTTTGAGGTTTCATGATTCAATCACAGCAAGGTGACCTTGTCCTAATTTTTTACAGGATGAAACCCGGGTGAAATGTACAGCTGCAGGAGTGTCTCCATTGGATATCATGCAAGAAGGCAAACGAATGATAGCTGAGATCCAGAAGCTAAGAATGTTGTGAGAGTACCCAACATTTGTAGAAGTTCTGGTAACCCTTTGTGAGTTGATATTGGCTCATTGTGAAATGCTATGTAAAATATATAGAATCTAAAACCAGGAGCTGGACTTGCTTGAATAGGTTATGCTATTCTTATTCAAGGGAGTAGGTTATTGTAAATGTTGTGTTGGTGTAAAAACCTTAGGGGTTGAAACATGTTCTGACTCCCTCTTGTATTCCATTCAGGAAAAAAAATTACGTAACTTAGAGGAAAAGGGGATATCTTTCTTCAAGACTTAGTTTTTTTTTATTTTTTCTGTATTTGTAATCCCTATGTGTAGTTGTTCAGATGGTAATTATAGAAATTGTTGTATTAATTGTCTGGTTCATTATAATTATAATAAATGAAGCTCATTGGTTTTGATTTCATTACTGCAAAGATGGCTTTCATATTCATTTCATTATGTTACATCTTCGTTAGTCTCTTCCTGTGCCAAGGTTGCCCCAATCCCTCTCATGATACTTATCAGGCTACTTGGCAATTCCCTATCCCATCCTGTCTCAAAGAAGCCCCTCCCAGCCCCTCCCTAGATAGTCAGTTGTCACTTTCTTGTGCAATCCAAAAATGGGACTAGATTTGTTTATGCCAAAACCAGTAGGAAGTCTGTATTTCTGGGGAATTCTGCAATCAATATTTTAAAATCAAATGCAACTGCCAAGTGAAGTGTGTCTAATTATGGGTACAAGATTGTAATAAATAGACTGAGAACTGGAGCAATGATATCAAACCTCACAAAATGGATTGTAACTGTACTAGCTCTTTATATTACACTATGGCTAGTCGTAATAGGTAGGGGTTCAGCCAAAGGATAACACAATTATTTCTGGACATTATCAGGCTTCAGCCCTTTGCTGATACTGTTATTTGAATTAATAACATGGAGCAAAGCGTCAGCAGTTTAGCCTACACAATTCAAGCGAGCGTGAGCGCTCTTATCAAGATTCATCTTTGGTTTAAAAAAAAGAAAAAAAAGGCATCAAATAAAAACTACTTGAGTTATTTGTAGGTTGGTATTGTTTCGCACGTGGGGAGAGTGGTTAGGTTGACTACTTAGAGTTCTCGTCTCGTAAAAGAAAATGGATCTTAAGTGCCAGTGTGCTGATAATACAAGTTTAGTTTTAGGAAATATATTTTTGCATGTTAGACACTGGTTTTAAGTTTATGTTCACGGGACTGCACCCAGAAAAAAGTGGTAATAATTTCCGCGATCACCGGAAGTACGCTTATGGAGTTTATCTTATTCAGGCGTGGTATTGAGATATGCCTGTCAATTTCCTCTCACGGGAGATGTTATTTGCTTCATGATATTTTTAAGGTCAAAAATAGAAGTTTCAAGTAATTTTTGCCCAAAAATTTACTTGGCCGAAAGTTTTATTAAAATGTTTTTACCCTCCGAGAAGCAGCTCGGCCGGCCTACCAGCGGAAGTGATGAGGACACTACTGTCAGGCGTCACAAATCTTTGTTCACCGCGTAGGATTGGAACCCATACCATCGCCATTCGTGTAAACGTAAAATGGAGGTAAGTGATGATGGCAGAACTTCGCCCTCTGGTAGTTTAAATAGTTCTCGAGAACGTTCAAACAGTGATCCAGGTCGCAGAGAGATGACCATAGTCATGAATGGCGGGAACACTGTGCCTACAAGACGAACACCAGCGTTTATAAACTCCACGGAAGTTGACAGTTCTGTCGCAAGTGCAAACTCTACCCCGAGTACACCTCCTCCTGTGCGACGAAGCAAATTGGCAGTGAGTATAGGAAGATTACTTCGACCGTGGAAATGGCGAAGGAGAAAGAAAAGTCAGAAGTTCATCACCACTTCACAAAGTAAGCAATGTTTCATTTTGTCTTTTTGTGGCCCCTATTTGTTCAGTTTTTTAGAGGGTGTAAGTTGACGTTTCACCTATGGAAAACCGAGAACAGGCTGTAGGTATGTGCTCAGCCCTTTACAATTCGTTCCTCTCGAAAGCATTTGTTTTTCCTGCTATTAGCTTCCATCTTAGTTCCTTCTTATTGATTACCACTGGGAAGTTTGAGCCTGAAAGGAATTACAACCGTACCTCTAATTCCGTATTTTGGACCTTCGATTAAAGGGGTCGTTGAGTCATTTTTTTAAAAACTGTTCTGGTAGGTTCTTTGCAAATATTTGTGTTTGCCACATATTGCCACGCTTAATAAATTGGATTTTTTTCCTCTCTGAAGTATTTATTTTAAAAATATTTCAACGACAATGTAATCCTTTTTACTAGACATCTGATATAAACGAAATCAAATTTTGATTCGACACGCACAACAATGTGATTTGGTCTGGTTGTGCTGGATAATTTTTTATTCTTTGGCTGAAAATTTCTCCAAATTAAATGTTACATATATCATTCAATTCATCAAACATACATTCCTTTCTGTTTAATGGCTTTGAGGAAAAAAAAAGCTCTTATGAAGCTAACAATTTCCTTCTAATGCTTGGGTTAAATTTTAGTAACACCGAGTCTCTTCTCTTTTTGATATTTATGGATGTATTTGATTTATTTGAACTTTTCTCCTAACAATTTTGGGGCTAAATTATTTTTACTAGTACCGTTATCAACTTAAAGTCGAATTAATATAGCTCAATGTATGATCAATTATTGTGTATAATGCATATGAAAGTGCTTAAGATTGTAATTACCTTTCACTTCCCTGAAGAAGGTTGTTGGGTAGGTTCATAGTGCTAAATGTTTTTGTGAGCTCAACAACATGAAAATGACAACAGGGGAAAAAGTCTCTCTGATTCCCTTCATGTTGTGTGGTTCAGTCTGGCTTTTTATTTCCTACATATTTTGAATGTATGAAAAGTTTCATTTTGAATTTCTGTTTTGTGGTTCCCAAGTGAATAAAATGGTCTATTTTTCTAATTTCTTGGTCAGATTTAAAGATGTGAGGCAAGATTGGAAAAAATAATAATCGCTTGTTCCAGAACCATTAAAATAGTATTTCAGGTCTCTGTAGGACCTTCCTCTGAGTGATTACATCAGGAATAGACTTGATGCATTTTGTAACTGCAAAACATTTTTAACAGAGAAATTATATTGTCATAGATATTTCTATTTGCATATGTTGCTTCAATTATTATTGCATTTTTATGATATTGTCCTTTGCTGTAGGAAGGTGATAAATTGGATCACAACTACAATTTTTCTGTGATATTTTGAATGTGTTTTTGATATTTTGAGATCTGTTAGAAGAAGAAAGATCTTTAGTTTGTTCTTTTATTTACCTGGACACTCTTTCATGGGGGCATTGATTGTTCAAAATTCATAAGATCACTTGACCGCAGTTCTTTGCTTTACCAGCATTATATTACTTTACAATATATTTCTAGCACAACAAGGAATTCCTATTATATGTTTTCCAACTTCTAGCCTTTATTTTAGTGACTTTAAGTAGTAGTACTAGGTGACAAAATGATATGATCACATTCTTTATAAAAGCAGTGTATAGATTTCTTTTAACTACAAGTCATTCCAGAGTGATGATAATGTGGTTTGATTATTTTGGTGTCTTGTCTGGATGAGCAATACATATAAAATTGTTGACCACAAGGATTTGAAATAGCCTTCAAGATGTAGAAAGGCAGGGAATGATTGAATATCTCACCATTAAACTTGGTTAAGTATTACATTATTTTTACTGAAATATTTTGAAAAACAGTTAAGTTGTGTAAAGTACATTATTTATACCATCCAAGTTATTGACATAAATTGTTTTGTTATTTTCTTGTGTGATAATATATATTGATTCTCTTCTCAGATCTTGAAAGAAAATTATCGGTACGCACTAACAGAGATGAGTTGATAAAGAAAGGAATCCTTCCAGTCACATCTGAAGGTGAACTTTATAGTCTGCTGTGACTACCAAGTTTTTACAAGAAACATTCAGGGATATATTGTGTCAATGGAAACTTAGAAAATGAGTTGTAGACCAATAATATAGCTTTTGCTACAAAAAAAAATCAAAGATAATTTAATATAGAAAAACAGTTTGAGTTTTAAATTGGTTTATTTTAAATCAGAGTATCTAACCTGTTAAGTTTAGATTTGAATGCATTTGAATCATAGCATCTCACATGGTTAGTTGATGATCATTATGTAGTTGATTAGAATTAAATTACCAAGTAACTAACTAGGAGAATTTGGAAAAGGTGATGTTTTGAGCATTGGCCATTTGTCAGGCTTAACTGTATTTTTAAGTATTGTTCATGTTTACTTCCTCCTGATATAAAGCAAATCAACTATCAATTTTAAATAAGTGATTTAAAGTGCTAAGATTTCCATTACAACATAAGCAAAACCCTGAGCAATTTTGAGATCTTAGAAAGGAAATGGTAAAATGCTCATCATTTTTGTTTGCTGGTTTCATTAAGAGTTTTATTTGTGTGCTGTTCTTGTTTTGAATACCATTGTTGCAACCATTGAAAGCAGAAAGGCAGTCAAGACAGGACTATGTTCTGTCATTAAACCTGCAGTGGTGTTTAGGATACAGTTAAGCTCTTTCATTAGTCTACACAAAGAACTGATCTTAGTTAACCAAATTAGACTTCTCTCAGTTAGCTTTCTTTGGATGTGTACTATTTTAACATGTCTTTATAATCTTGTACTTGTTTACTTGCTTATTATTACATTAAAATTTCATCAATCAAACATTATTTTCAGAGAAAGAAAACGAGAATGATTCAGGTGAAGTCCAATGCAATGGTCCATTACTGGAAAACAGGCTTCCCAATGAAAGTGAAGAGAAATCCGTAAAATCAGGTCAGCCAAGGAGTGCTTTGAGAACTCCACTTCAACAACGAGACAATCTACCTGCTGGAAATCAAATCAAGAATGATTTCCAAGTTCAACAATTAGATACTTTGAGTATGATGGACCAGCTGGCTCAGGAATTAGGTGAGATGATGTTATCTTAACTACTGAATGCAATAGAACAGGTTAAATCATGTTTATTAGGAGGTAATGTACATAGTTCTTATTCATAGGCCTGTGTAGCCTTCTTTTGTTATGAAATTGTTTAAAAATTAATTAATAAATAATTAATCTTTTACAGTGCTTGAGATTGTAGTATGTTGCGTTTTTTCAGAACATGCTTGAATTGCTTTACATTTGTATTTTATATACTTTTAGTCTTGTCAATTTGTTGTAGTTTACATTAGACTACTGAATTGTAGGGGTGAGATGGGCTGATAGATGGCATGATAAAAAAAGAAGAAAATTGTACTGTTTACATTGGCCTTGAGCACCAATCCATTTGTGCCCCAAAACCAACCTGGTCTGTCTGTACTGATGAAACAACTGTTCTTCCTCTTTACTCATTAGCTATAAATTGCAGTTAACGACTGAGGACAATACTATGTAGTGAGGTTGATAGTATGCAGATTGACGAATTTCCTCTCTTTAATTGTAACAGCTCGTCGAAACACTGGAGACAGTTCAACAATTGAACAGACAGTCCTTCAAACTCAAAATAATAGACATTGTAGTTCTATTGGCCAACAACCAAGGTAATACAGTTGATACTACAACATTGAAAGTCATGCTATGTACTAGACTAGATTAAGGTCATGAAACAAACTATACACAGTTTGTGGCTTCTGGTGACTTAAATGTTTTGACTCTTTAAAAAATTAGGGCCAGAAGGTCGTAGGACAGTATTTGCCAATGTCATAATTATCAACTATCTTAATAGACTAAGATTTAAGATTCCTGCTGCCTTTGGTTAATAATTAAAAAAATAAAACAAAAACGAAAAAAAGGAAGGAATAATAGGATTGAAAGATAATCATCTTCTTTATACAAGAATCTCATAAGAAAATGGAGTAATTTGGTATTATTAACTGAGTCGATAACGTAAGTTGGCCAGCGAGATACAGTGTATGTCCAGAAATCATGCAGTAATGAAAATGGTGAATATTTGTCAAAATCGTCAAATCTGCTAAGCTAATTTCGTTTTGACCAATTGACTAAAAATTGTCAATTCCACCAAGCTGATTTAGCTCTGATGAATCTTGACTGAAATTTGCCAAAATTGTCAAATCCATGAAGATTTATTCAGTTTGACTAAAATTGCCCAAATCTGCCAGTTTGGTGTTATAAATATATATATTTAACCAACCACAAAACAGGCCTGTAGGGATGAACTTGTAGTTTATTTATCTTTTTCCTCCCACATTATATACATCGCTCTACTCCTAAGTATTGAGCACTGTTTTACGATAGTCAGAATTTTACACTTTATATATATATACACTGTGTATATATATATATATATGTATAAAAATAAAACCTCCATGTTAGCACGTAGAGTGGTATGTTGCTTGCACCAATCAGATTGCTGCATTAGGGTATGTATCTCACACCAATCATATCACAGCATTTGGATATCTGAGCATTTAGGGTATTTATTTTGCACCAATCATATTACAGCTATCTTGCAAAGAATTACAATCAAGTCACCGATGGTTCAACTTGCCAACGCCAACTTGCCGATGCATAAAATTGATTACAGATGTGAGCGAGTTGGTCTTCAATCCAGTACAACTTATTAGAAGTTAAACATACAGAAAAGTAAAAGATATTTAATGAAAAAATAATTTTGTTTTCTTCCAACAAAGTTTATAAGGATCTCATGGCAAATAAAGCAAGGTAAACATCGCCAATGAATTTAAAAGCTTGAGTTGAACCGTCGGTGACTTGACTGGATACCCTTGCAAATGATGTCAGGGAATCAGGGGGCTGTGCACAAAGAAGGACATAAACCATAAAATTTGGGCTAAGTTTGACAAGTGTAATGGTTTGTGGCCTTTGTGGGAGCCTTGTCAATTGATGTCAAGATTTATTGGGATATGAAAGATTCACATATAGCCTTTTTGTATCATTTTTATGTTAAAACATATTTTTTCCACTCCTTTACTCTTGATTGTATTCCACCAATCAAATTCCATTTGAATTCACTCCATCACGTGTCATTTCCATGTAAACAACCTGCATATTCTGACTGCTTTGTCCAACCCCACTGAAAAGAATTCACATGGAACTAAATGCTACAGGCAGTAAATTTTCCACACAATTCTCTTGCATTTTGACTTTTTCTATGAATAAAATTAGCTTTTAGCTACCTTGGACTTAATCCAATTGTGTGTTAATTCATTGTAAACAACTGGCCCCTCGTCAGAGCAAATGGACAAATCTGACAAATTGCTAGTGCTCAAAATGTTAGCTTTGAAACTTTTGTACCAATGTGCATTATCAATCTGGTAAATGATACCAAATTACCCTGTTATACTCTCCCACTGACACAAGCCCACACTTTCTTTTGAAACTTACCCCCTTGGATCAGTGGAAGATGCTTCCAAGGTATTGTAGTGAGTTGCAGGTCATAGCTTTAGACCTTTTACTTTACAACAAAAAGGCTAAAATTGAATTCACTTTCATCACCAGGCTTGAAAAAGGTTCCTATATGTAAATCGTAAACTGATAAATATTTAACTTTTTTGTGTAGATTTGTTGTTGTTCAAAGTGTTGGGAAAAAAACTAGTGGTGAAGAAGAATGCTCGGATAATGAAAGTTTGCAACATGCAAGTTCAGGAAGTGAAGGAAGCTTTTCTGACTCAGAGGAAGAGGAGGAAAATCGAGGAATTGTTACAGGTATTGAATTTGATTGTTTTTGGACTCATTGTTTGTTCAGTAAGCTGTACCTCTAATCTCAAAGCTTCAGTTTTGGGAAAGTCTCAACATAATTGGTGAGTATGAGGTCCATCTTGATGGAAAGATTGGTACACAAATTGTATAGGAGATGTCAGTTTGAAATACAATTGTTCACAAGACTGCGCTTTTTCTTACCATGGCCACAAATAATCTGATCCCAGAATGCCAGTACTTTCTCTTGAACAAATACCTTTTGTATGATTAAATGTTTACTAAATGAGTAATGTAGGAGAGGTCTACCGAATTCACACGTCTATAGGCCACATTCATGTATAGGCTGCATTCGTGTATAAGCCGCACCCTGATTTTTGACCATATTTTCTTGAAAAAAAATGATTTCACGTTTTCTCCAGAGGGCGAAAGGCCTGGCAAATGCCACATACTGCCAAGAGATATTTGTTTATGTCACAAAATTCATCACAATAAATAATCTGACATAGTATGCCATCGATCAAACAAACATTGCAAATGCAAACAACAATAGCTAGTCATATCTTCAAAACAGTCTTAAAGTTAAAAAAAGGTAAAAGAAAAGATAAAAGAAAAGATACCTGGGTAATTTGTGCTAGATTTGTGTTCCAAGTATTCTATGAGTGCATTCCTTTGGGAGGATTCGCATTTGGATTTGTGATCCAAGATCACACAAATCATGGTGCATGAAAGGAATGGAGTTTTAGACGAGCTCTCAGAGAATTCCAAAAAGTGTGCTATTTCAAGACTTTAGTATGCATGTGGGTTACTGAGCTCTTCCCAGAATGGCTTGTCATTAGAAGCACATTTTTTCATGGTAAACTCAAACAATGGAATTAAAACAGTAGCAAGTATTAATTACAATATGGATACTTGGGAACCCTGAATGCCTGCGATCAGTGGCCAATTGATTTAACATTACAAAATTGTTTTTATTTCGCCTTTATCGCAGAATTTGTAGAGCGATTGCCAACAATCTTTCCGGCTAATATACGAGGTACCTGTTTGAAATTGAGCATTGCTGGGCAAAATGATTAAATTTGGATCCTTTGACCAAAGGAACGTGTTGGATCAGTCTTTAGATCACGCAGATCAGTGATCCGATGAATCCTTGTCCAGAATGGATTTGGTAGATCACTGATCTGAAAATGGAGTTGCTTGAGGTGTAGCTGAGAACAACTCTAGCATCTTGAGTGCTCTCCAAACTTCCCAAGTGCTTCATATCTCGATGAACGCACAGCTGATGTACAAACCAATTGTTTTATAACATTTTCAACCTGATGGAAAATTTTTTTTCTCAAGGGATTTGTTTGCTGACATCATGAATGTGCACAATAGGAATATGAAGTATGCTCGCACAATTGAATATGATTAGACAAATTTACTAGCTATGTTATAAAAGTGCTTAATAAATAATCCTCTTTAACAAAATTTATTTGGAAAAAAAGTGCAGCCTATACATGTGGGAATACGGTATTATTGCATACAGTATTTTTTTTATTCCTTTATGTATGCAAACAGTGCTTAATAAATAATCCTCTTTGTAGTAAAGTGGTGCTGTGGCCCATTAAATTACAAATTCTTATTTTTTTTCTCAAGCATTTCAGTGGTCCAGAATCCTAAATCCTTAAATCTGATTGGCCAATTCCACACTTCAGCAGTCCATATTTTTCCTATCCGGATCCCAGATACAGACTGCTCCAAGTATTGCAATTTGCAATTGTCATTCTTTTCAAAAGGGTGAACTGCCTTGTTTTTTTTTGTTTTTTTAGGCTTAGCATCTAAGCTTAAAAGGAAGGATAGTTTGGCTCAAAAATTGAGAACAAGACCAAGTCAAGGTGAACTTGAGGCCAGAAACATACTGCCAAGTAAGTGGAAAATTATTTATTTGTAATAGCATACATTGATGAGACTGTGAAGTTTTGTCATGTATCCAAGACATATTCTGTGGAAATTTGTGGGATAGTTCTATTAATAACTGTATAGCTTTATTAATATCTTTCAAGATTACAGTATTGTGTAATATTTTACAAAGAATGATAGCAATAATACCCAATGTTAAGAAATTTTGCTGACTATTTTTTCATCAAGTTTATCAAGAGTCTAGTTATATTTGATGTCAATAACATTAGTAAATCAGTAATAGTGAACCATGGTTCCCATTTTCAACTGTCGGTAACCTTTCGGTCAACTGTCGGCTGACAGGTTACCTGCACATTACCGACAGGTGGCCAACAGTGTTAAGTAGACCAAAAATTGATTGAAAACAGTAAATAGAAACATGTCATTTGCGTTGTTCATACCTATCTACTTGATTCTGTTTTAATGGTAAAAATAAGCTTGTTTAACCCACTTTCAGACTGTAAGTACCAAAATTTAGTAGTAAATTTAGTACCTATTTTTTATATCCTTGTTTGTACATGAAAAGGCTCCTTTTTTTCCATTTTGCAAGTGAATGAACCAACAGGTCAAATAGTTCTAACCAAATAAAGACTTTCTTAAAAGGGTTTTGGAAGCAGTGCATTAAGGGGATTGGGAACTAGAAAAACCGTTTTTATGTTGGTCGACAGTTGGCCAACAGTATCTTTCAGGAGCTGTTCTTCACTTTTACCAGTAAATCTATTTGTCAGCCTTGATTTAAGAAAATTGAACAAGTCTCTATATTACATATTATCCTCTGTGCGTGGCTGCCACAAGGTTAAATGTTGTTTACCTACTAGGAGTTTTAGGAGTTATAGGTCAAAAACAGTGAGAACCGTCCACAGGTTTGAAAGTAGACCTAAAAAAAAATGAAATATTCTGATATGACTGACAACTGCTGTCTGCAAATGCTTCAAATTGCTCCAGTTAGTACAAAGTGTATTTAATTTGTGAAAATACATGAACCTTTTTTGTTTTATTTTATATTTTGGTATCTGTATAACATTTATGTAAAACTGAAAGGTGGCCAAGAGAATCAAATATAAACTTATGGCCAAATGATATTTCACTGTGGCTGGGACTGCCAAATATCAACTGTGTATAACAGAGGTTGTCTCTTTTTTTCCCCTTTTGCTCAAGAAGGAAGATATTTACATACATGACATCACTGCATGATATCCAATCAAACTGCATATTGCATAATATATGTCTAAGTATGTGACTACCATTTGTAGTTTAAAAGATAACAATAAATAATTGCTTTACAGTTTTGGATATTACTTTTTTGATTTTAGATTTTCAATATATCAGCTGTACAAGCCTAGGTTTAGAATTTAAACAAGCAGCAATGAAAAGCTGAAAAAAAATTCCTTAAAGATTCAATACCTAGGTATGAAATTGGTAATAAAATCATTTTAGAGTGAAGTTTATAGGATATTTTAGAAATAAAAATGAGTCTCTTTTGTCTAATATTTTTAATCTTCAGTGCCTCAATAAGCCCTGCAGGGGTTAGTAACATTCTTTGTTATAGCTTTACTCATAGGCCAAAGTTAATTTATGTTATTGTTTATATTTTTCCTACAAGGAACAACAGCTTAGCTTTGGTAATGTGGGTTTTATTTGTGGCACAATCTTTCCAATACTCAAAGGAAGTAACCAGCTATTGGTGTTCAGAGCACATAATTTTTAAATTTGCTTCATTATTTGTTTAATGAATTGAATAACATAACTTCTATTTTAAATAAGTGTAAATGTGGATCTTTATGGACCACAGGAAGGAAGATCTCTGGAAAAATTGCACATGTTATCAGAAATGTTGAATTGGGAGTAAAAATGTTGAATTTGTGTAGCAGATTTGTATGAATGTTTGATATTGTGCATGAGTTTTGTCTTACTTTGACACATAATTATTCTCAAAACACCTGTCCTTTCACTGATCAATACCAATTAGCCAGCCCTCCAATTACTTGAAAGCCATTCTTTGTTACACCTGGTGTAAAAACAGGGAAAAAAGAGTAGGCCAGACTGCTTTTCTTGTCCATCAGGATTAAGCCATATTTTTGACATTGATAATCCAACACTTGAACTCTTTGAATGAAGAATTCTACAGAATGCAAAATGATTTTTATTCGTCAAATTGTCACTTTAGTTGGACAAACTCAGTCTGGAGTGCTGGATTTAAGTAAGCTGGTTGTAAATATCTTCTAATTTTATTGTAAGAATTGATATTGCTGATGATATAACCAGTAGATTATAATCGCTGGCAATTTTAAGCAATGAGTGCTTTTTTTCAAACATTTTAAAGCAGTGATTGAGACATGGCTCCTGTTAGTTAATGATAGTCTTTTGGAGAAGTTTTTTTTTTGTGGATAAATGTGTGAGCAATGTTATGATTGTCATGATTAATGTAATTTTTCAATCCCATTTAGCCTGGTGTACTAACCAAAAGAGCCAGAAAATCAAGTTTGATTCTTAGAAAGTAGCTTTCAAACTTCCTTTCACATTTTAAACATGACAAGTAAATGCTGCTGTTAATGGCCCTAGTGTGGACTGTTATTGGTTGCGAATTAAGTTCTTGCCTTGCTGCAAGGAGTCACTTATTTCAACATTTAAAACTTAGTTATACTGTAATTTGTGAGATGAGGTATATTAACATAAAGGCCACCTCAAAGTACTTCAGAATTTAACAATGACCCATAATTTGCAACCTTCTGGATTAGCAAAGGTTGTTGTAAATTTATCTTTTTAAAAGTGTAAAATGTAAACTCTCCAGTCTTGACAGAGGATGAATATTCACAGTACTTTTTTAAATTATGAAAAACCTGTCATGGGTTTCTAATTCTTAAATAGCTCAATTCTATACATCACAACTTTATCATGTCATCATATTAACTTTCATTTGAATGATTTCTTTTTCTTTGCGAAAAATATGCATATAAGAAATACATATATTGGGCATGAAAAATCAGTAGATAAGCACATAATTCATGAATTGGTCACATGTTATGGAGGTTGTTTGTTGTGTTTTGGCCCAGGCTACAGACTTACTTTGCTTTGTACTGCATGCGTGTGCTCTTAGTGCAATCTCACCATTGTTCATGATGATGCGTTGAAGTTTGTTGTCTTAAAGTTGAAGGCACAGTTACTTTTTTTCATTATGTTGATTGTTAACAAGAAAGAAGGTAATTCCATATCATTTATAAGTTGTATTTGCCTGTCATTTTCATTGGCTTTCTTCCCTACCTGGCCACAGAATTCCAAAATATATAACACAGCAATAGAGTCTGGAAAACACTCAAAGGAATAAAAGGCCTTAAAGGGAAGTACAGGTAGCCTCTGTAGGATGCTGGGTAATTTCTGCACACACTTCACAACAACAAAAATATAAACAGCAGATGGTGATTTGAAAAAATTAAACTATCATTATCAACTTATAATTATCATGATAATAAAACTTGTCTTTTGGATATGACCATGTCTATATTTAATGAGTTCTTGATTTCTTGTTGTTTTGCAAGTCACTTTTTTATGTTGATGATAATTTGTCATTTTTCTTCCAAATTGTCTCCAAGCAAAAACAGAGGAAGAAAAATTAGAGAGGAAAAATGAAGTTGGAACTAAACTTATAAGGTGAGTTTAATTGCCTCTTTTCTTTTTGTCATGGAACATAACTCTCCTCTCTTTGTAAAATTGATCAATAGTATTTTGCCCTTGATTTTGTACATGGAAATTTAGTTTATCAAAATTTCCTCGTATCATTGAGAAAAATTGCCATGCTGTTCTATCAATTAAAGAACTGAGACTAAAATGTTTGACTTGTGTTCTATCCAAAGTTTATTCCATATGTTCTTTAAACAATTTACATGATGATGTTGTGTTTACTGAACTGTTGGTCCAAATTTCTCATGTAATTTGAGAACAGATTCCTATAAATACTCAATTAAGGGTAACCATTTGAACAGGTGTTAAGTTACACAGAGATATTTGATTGGTCTACATGCCCTGCCACCTGCTGAATAAATCAGACAAGCATTAATGAGGCCTAAAGAAAATAACCTTTCTTCCTCCGATGAAATTGCCATCAATATGACTGAAAGGATTTTTGAGAGGAAGGCAGTGCATTGTTCTGTTTATGTTTAGATGACTGTAACAAAATAGAATCAGACACATGGTGTATGTGAGCTCTGTACAAATGATTAATAAACACCTTCCTTCTGTATGTCGGTATTTAATTGTTAATCACTAGTGATAATTAATGACAGGTGTTCTATGTACAGAATAAACAGCCCAATATGACATGTAGGACAACAGTAATGAAATGCAAAGTAAACCTTGAAAGTGAATGTCAGATAGTTAAGGAAGGAACATCTTTGGAGGGAGACAATTATGATTGATTAATATTTCTGTGACATCGTGGAGTGATGCAAGATGTAGCAGCATCCATTATGTCACACATTGTACTAGGAACAGTGTATTATCTGGAATGTTTTGTAGAACAGATGTTCATCCTCCTTCATAATGGCACAAATGATAACAGTAGCATGTTTTGTGACTTGTTGTGGAATCTAGAAGTAGCTTTCTACTATTTTATTTCAAGATGTATTAAATATTTGTAAGTTTGCTGCATACCTTAGATATTACTCAGTTGTATTTGCACTATGGTTTAAACAAGTGCACGACCTTTCCTGGAAATTTATGGATAAAAGTAACTTTGTAATATTTCTTTTGTGCTGAAATCTAGATGTAGTATTTGTCTATATGTTTAGCATCTGAAGCACCCAACTTAATGTTTTGTTTGAAATGTTTGGAACAAACTCCTTTATTTAGCTATCAAAGCAAAACAAATATGTTGTGAACAATACGTAAGAGCAGAATGCTTCAAATTTTTCTTGTAAACTTTTTCTGAGTTCTCAAAAACTTGAGCATGTTGACCTCTATTGTAGCCATTGATAGACAGCTTCTGTATTTTTGTTAAAATTGTAGATTTTGTATTGATTTGAGTGTTATTTAATATTTTCAAGGCTAAACTTAGAGTTGGTAATATCTTATTCCCCATATTTGTTGATTAACATCACTTTACTATCTCTCGTTTTACTCTTTTTATACTATCCTTGCAGACGGCTGAGCACACGACCTACTGCACAAGAACTTAGGGAAAGAAATATTTTGAAATGTGAGTGACATTTTATTTATAAGTAATATAATGATACATTTTATTAGTTGCAATGTATTTTTTGAAGAAGGCAAAATGTAAGGAGTGAGAAAAATAATATGCATGGCTGTAAATTTTATTTCCATGAACAATATTAAACAAGAAGGAAAGTAACATTGCATTTTCTCTTCTTCTTTGCAATGTAGGCAATCACATAGCAATCTATTAAACAAAGACCTATCCACTCGATAGTGTTACCCTGGTCCAATTGAGATGCCTTCAACCTCATTTTTTGTGTAAATGCATGTACCAGTATAACACCTTCTCATTTTAAAATATTTTTCTTTGTTCCAAACTAGTCGTGTATGGTTTATTAAGTATAAGACGGGTTCCTCTTTTCTGCGTAATCTTCACTTTTAATGGAAAGATGATTTGAAAGTCCTATAGCAATAGTGTATCTTCACATATTAGACTATCACTAACTCTTAACAGCAGAAACTTAAAAACCTTGTATTTCCAAATGTAGTAGCTTTCTAAATGACTGGTTTATTCAGAATGCTTATCCATAGTTTAACTTATTTTATGCCAACATCACAGCATCCTCAGAGGAAGAGGCTAAAGAAGAAAAGGAGGAAAAGAAAAGGGTGTTAACTAGAAAGGTCTGGTTGATTTGATTCAAAAGAACATTTTAGAAAGTGCAGTGGTAGGCCTAACCTTACAAAGTAACATTTTCAATTCTTTCAATAAAAAAATTGCTTTAAATAAGTACTAGAGGAATAATTTTGTTTCATTTGCTAACAATTTTCATTTTGACTTCTAGTAAATCAAATCTAGTTTGTAACCTGTGGCTTTGTGGGACTTTGAAAGGTTGAGAAAAATAAATGGAAATTTTTTCATTACTTTGTTTGTCCAGTTTGCACCTCAGAATTTGAATGTTGGTCAGTGACACAAATCTGGTTATGGGTGTGTCACAATTTAGTCTCCATGAGAGCTTATTTTATGTCATGAAATAATTAACTAATGGAATAATTACAAAGCCAAACTGGCTCTTAAATAGCCAACAACAATTAATTGCAGGAAGAGAGAATTAAGTTCAACTTGTTTAAATTTGTGTATTGCAGTTAAGTAGAAGGCCTACAGTGCAAGAGTTGAGAGCAAAGAAAATTCTTAAATTTAACGATTATGTTGAATGTGTTGATGTCCATGACTATGACAGAAGGTAAAAATTTACTATTAATTTTGTCATTCCTTGTCAAACATTGATTTCTTTGTGTGAAAGTTAAAAACAGTAAATTGTAGTAGATGTGCCTGTAAGCATCCTGTACTGTACTCAGCAGTTAACACCACAAAAATTTATAAGACATTAAATTCAGTGACTGGTAACCTCAAAAGAACTTGGCTCGAGGATTGCCTTAAAACGGAAGGAAACTACAAACGTATGTGTAATGTGGGTAATGTGAGTTGATTTTACGGTATGTTGGAGAACTTCATTTTGTTTTTGTTTATATCATATTTAGAGCTGACAAGCCGTGGACTAGATTGACTCCTGAAGACAAGGTGACTTGTAACTTTTTTGGCCATACACCACAACTTTATTAACATATTTTTGGAAGAAAATAATTGCAAATATGGTAGGAGGACAGGATTAGGTAAAGATTTCCCAGATTAACTCAAAAACTAATCTGACTGAGTAACAAAGGGCTTGTCCTAACCATCATCCCCATTTACAGGTAGTAATGGCCACTTTGTTCGCCCACATAGGCACCAAAAAGTTATGAAGAAATTGTTAATTTTTTGTGGCCTAAGAAACAATTAAGGACATGAGTTAGATGACATGCATACCAGAATGGAGATATTTTTTTCTTCTTTTTTTGAAGGCTGCAATTCGCAAAGAGCTCAATGAGTTCAAGAGTAAAGAGATGGAAGTGCATGAAGATAGTAGACAATACACAAGGTAAGTCCTGTGTCAGCCAGTCATTGATTTAGTAATGGTGATAATAATAATGCATTAATGATGATAAATAATAACACCATTTACCTTGTGTAGAGAACAGTCAACTGTTAAGAAATCACAAATATCTCGTGAGCATAGGCTTTTGACTGAAGTTATGCTGTTTTGTATCAATTTATCCAAAACTACATTTTCAGATTGACAAACAAAAAGTAGAGTAATTTACCAATCACAGCTGTTGTCGACATCTTTGGAGAGTCCCTGAAATATTAAACAGTATGGTTGATGCATTGGTCAGATTTAGGTACATGATTCTGACCTGGGTTGGGTTGATTTTCCCCCTAGATCATAACATTACCCAATCATTTTGATTACAACTCTAACCATCATAGGCACCTGTCAGCCCTAAGTTAATTGTTTGTTAACTTTCTTGGTCGTGAGCAATTGTCAGCTCTAAGGTAACAATTTGTTCAAAGTTTGTTTACTGTCTTGGTTGTAAGCACTTTTCAGCTTTAAGTTAACAGTTTGTTCAAAGTTTATTTACTGTTGTGGTTATAAGCACTTGTCAGCTTTAAGTTAAAAATTTGTTCAAAGTTTGTTTACTGTCTTAGTCATAAGAAGTTGTCTGTGTAAAGTTAACAGTTTGCTCAAAGTTTGTTTACTATCTTAATCATAAGCACTTGTTGGCTCTAAGTTAACAGCTTATTCAAAGATTGTTTACTGTCTTAGTCATGAGCACTTGTCAGATCTAAGTTAACTTTTGTTCAAATATTGTTAACTATCTTTGTTATAAGCACTTGTTAGCTCTAACTTGACAGTTTGTTCAGAGCGTGTTTACCTTCTATATTGTAAGAACTGGTTAGCTCTACATTAACCTTTGTTCAAAGATTGTTAACTGTCTTAGTCATAAAAACTTGTCAGCTCCAAGTTAACCTTTGTTCAAAGATTGCTAACTATCTTTGTCATAAGCACTTGTTAGCTCTAAGTTAACAGTTTGTTCAAAGCATGTTTACCTTCTATATCATAAGAACTGGTTAGCTCCACGTTAACCTTTGTTCAAAGGTTGTTAACTGTCTTTGTCATAAAAACTTGTTAGCTCCAAGTTAACCTTTGTTCAAAGATTGTTAACTGCCTAAGTCATAAGAACTTGTCAGCTCTAAGTTAACCTTTGTTCAAAGATTGCTAACTATCTTTGTCATAAGAACTTGTTAGCTCTAAGTTAACAGTTTGTTCAAAGCTTGTTTACCTTCTATATTGTAAGAACTGGTAAGCTCTAAGTTAACAGGTTGTTCAAAGATTGTTAACTGTCTTAGTCATTAACTTGTCAGCTCTAAGTTAACAGTTTTTTCAAAGTGTCTCTTGTAATTAAAAGAAGAATATATAACTAGAAGGCATGACTAGTTTAACCAATTAATTCTGTTTTTTTTTTTTTTTTAGGTTCCATCGTCCCTAGTTTTATACAGGCGCCAAGAGGATTTTTACTTTACATCTATTTTTTTTGTTAGATGGAATTATTAAAAGGACTCTAACTAGTAAAAATAATATACTGTAATGTACAGCTCACTCTATTGCTGTAAATATTATTAATTTCATATTATGAATTTTTGTAAAGAATTTATAGATTTTTAAAGTGTTTTTAATAATAGATGTAGCAAAGGAATGAGTATCCTCTCAATTGGAAAAAAAAAGCAAAGGCCATCTCTTTGCAACTAGGGCTTCATAGAAGTAAAATTCCTGATCTGAGAGTTCTTATTGGCATTGCTAGTGTAATATCATTCAGTAAAAATGAAAATTTATGCAAGATGTCTGTGACACTTGTTTGGCAATATAATTGACATTCATTATTTGAATGGTCGTAAATGGAGCATACTTTGTTAATTTTACCAGATGTGTATTGTAAACTTTTTGTTTTGTGAGTGACTTGCTGTGAGTTTTGGTTCACATTTATATGATGGCCATAGTTACCACCTGACTGTACAAATTTAAGACATGGTGATTATTACATTATTATAGTATTAATTCTACAACACTAGAGGGTTCAAGTACGGAAAAAAAAAAAAAGAAGCAATGGTGGTCCTCAACATGCTTTCATTTCATACCAAGATGCTTTAATCAACTTGTTGCTTTCTTATCCATTGCTCCCACAATTTTTTTGAAGGAAAGCAATATGTTTTGGGTTGGACTCAGAGACATGTTTGTTGAGGGATGAAATGACTTTAAGAAGGGCTAAACCATTGAGAAAATAAAAAACCTGGAAAAACTAACAACAAAACAGTCTTGAATAATGCCATGAGTTTGAGAGTGGGCTAAAACGCATCTCTGCCTGCAAAATGGGCCATAATGCCCAATAGCATCACTTCTAACAAAGAAATATTTTTCATGTCTGTAAATGTTCTCTCAAAGGAATTAGCACTTACACAATTTTAGTATTAAACTGGGGAATGAAAAATTAACCATTCTTATCTGTGCATTTTCCCCCACAGCAAACATAGTCAGTTGCACATGATCATTAATAGGAATTGCAACAGGCATTTGATCCAAAAACCTTTCTAGCTCATAGAGCAGACTATACATGTCATGATTTTGTTGGCCATTTAGACTATTTTGAATGCTTTTGCTACCTGAGATAGTTTGGGGGAATTCAGAACCATTAATATTTATTTTAATAAATATTTACCACTTTGTTTCTTGGAATTCACTTGTATATGTTTTCTTTATCATGACTGTCTTTGAATAATGAAGTCCAAGCTTTTCAAATTTTTAAACTATTATTACTTAGAACTTAATAGTTCTTCAGCTGCTCCTTACCATTGTACAGAAGAGGACTCTGGAAAACATTCTGTTGTCATAGAAATAAAGTATTGGGAAACACCATAAAAGCCTTGAAGCAAACACTTTATTTTTTTTTCTTACAGATTGTCGTTAACTTTATTGACTAATATGTAAACAATTTGATAAAAAACTAAAAATTATTTAAATTACCACTAACTTGAAAAACCTACTCCCATATGTAGGATCACTTTTAAATATCCAACTAGTTGGCCTTTACTTGACGGTCCCCAATATATCTTAGTTATTCTTAGAGTAAGGACTCCTGATTTCACATGCATTTTATAAATGCTGTCTGACAAGATTACAGAATAAAGTTTTCACAGCTTCAGTATCCTTACAATCACCACAGGTTCCCTAAACTAATCCTAACACTTCAAATGCATTAGCTCTCATCTAATCAATACTTTGAAATAAATCAATACTATTTAAATAAAAAAGTGAAATAAACACATGACAATCCCATGGTTAGAAGATTCCAGGAAATATGTTTCTCCTGTCCTTGGGAAAGTTTTCAATTTTCTTTAGATACCAAAGATGTGTTTGATGGCTCCTTCCAGACAAGTAACACACCATAACTAACCAAGCTAAGTACATACCCAGATGTTGACCAGCTACAGCCATGCCATACCAAGCAATCAACTCTCTAAAGGAAAAAATAAGTGATTGTAAAGGTAGTTCAATTTTCTCAAAATGTATTGACCATGATTGTATTCCTTCTTTCCTCTAGTTGTAATGCAAAATGTCTTTAATTAATATCTGAGGTTTTGGTTTGGCAGTGTCAATCATTATTGTTATGTTTTATGTTTCGGTTTTGGACAGTGAATGGTATTATCTTGGGCAAGATGGTCACACATTGAAATTATAAGATAGAGTGTAGTCATACTGCACCATTGTGTTTACAACAATTATCAAGGGGCAGAAATTTCAGAGTGTTAAGAGTCAGTGAACTTCCTCCTACTTCCTACTGACATGGGGTTGCCTATAGAAGGACTGCTTACCACCCCTTCATAAGATGAACCCAAGAAAACTGAAAAGTGAAGGCTGCAAGGTCTAATGTTGCACTGGGTGGATCCAGGTCTGCTTTCCAAGAGAGTTTTCTTATCAGGTGCAACATCATGTCTAGGTATTTACAGATAATAAACATGACACTAACCCAAGATAATGAGGACACACAAGATAATGGAACAATCCTGCATGTGGAACAACATAACCAGTTAATGTACCGGCAGGCCTCAGACTTGCCAAAATATGATGATGATAGAAATTTAAGGATTCACCAATGACAAACACTGGTACGCCAACCACTAATGCCACATAGTTAGATGACAACTTATCAGCTAAAGGTCCATGGGTGTAAATATTACACCAGTAGTGCTGGGTGACTGCACCAAGACAGTAGAACATGGCAATCTGGTAAAACAAGAGACAGTCACTTTAACTGAATTAAATACCAATGGAAAAATTTTATGTTTTGATGTTTGTAAAAATTTGATGTTTGTGCTCTTTCTGGTCACTGACAAGTTGAAGCCAAATCCAACTACACTTACCCATTCATAAAGCATGCAAAATCTGAACTATATAAAAACTAGAACTATCTAGTTTCAAAGCATGAAGGGCAAACAGAAAGGTTAATGGATTGCTGATTAAGGACATTTATCATAGGGAACATTTAAGTGTTCATAGATCATCATTGAATGTTGTGGGTATGTTATTGGTGAAAATAATGTGTTACATGTTTAAAGAAATTAGAATTCAGACCAAAAAGTCATAACAATTACTGTACCTCTATAACTGGAAGAAGAAGCATGTTCTTGGAATACTTGTGGATAAAAAGGGCTTCAATGATTCTTTTCAAGAAGTGACCCAGGTAAGTTACCAGAGATACAAGTTGGAAGATTGTCTGAGGCATTCCAGACAAATACCACAATATGGCATACAACACAAGAGGTGCACCATAGCAGATGGACCAACCAAGTTGTGAATTTATTTCTCCATGCGAGGAAAATTTGCTTAAGAAAATGGAAGATCATTTCATTAGTCTCGCAAGCTCCTGAGAAATCTACTGTCTTCTGAGCAATTGACAATGTACTCATTTTGTGGAAATCAATGAAAGCGGGACAGGGGTGTAGCTCATATGTTTCAAGAAGTCCACAACAAGGGGCAGAATTTTGAAACTTATGGGCCTACCAATTTTAAGCTTGCCCCTTCTCCAGGGCAACCCACAGGCATTTGACTATCATCCATAAACAAGAGACTTTCTTTTTTTTAACCTTGCCTGGGTGGGGTGGGAAATATGAACTGGAACTGTCTAGTCTTTCCATTGGTATACACATGTTTTATCTTTAAATATAGAGGTATTTAAAGGTAAAGAGTTCACTTTTGGGAGCAGACAATAATCACCGCCTTTATAACTTATTACCTGCACCACATGAAACTGCCTATTCATTAAGACATGTGCACCCTTTGAAGATGCCACGTTTTAAAACTGACTGATTTAAAAATACCTTTATTATCTTTTTATGTCTCAAAGCAACTAATTTATACTTTAAGGTTTTCAAATTTTGCAGCTTGTATTATGATAGCTTTTTTAGCAGCTTATCTCTCGTTAGCTTTTTTTTCATCCTTTTTTTTTAAGATAGATCAGTTGATGATTAGATTTTTACAATATAATTTTTAGGGTCAATACACAATTCAGTTTTCAAGCTGCTATGCAATTATGAATTAATAAACTTCGAACTTCAGACAGCTTAGAAGAAAAGGTCGTTAAGAAGTTAAGAAAGTGATAGTTGCTGATCTTGCCTTTACAAAAGAATTGACCATCAAATCCGGCATTTGGGTAAGGCATTTATACACAGTTTTGGCCCATTGGTGGCAGAAATGTAAACGAACCAATCTCATTCTCCAAAAGTTCAAACGTCTGAGGGGTAGCCGGGGGGGGGAGGGGGAGGGGAAAGTGTGTTTAATCTCTAAACTGATGGATGCATAAAATTATACTTGACTGCTATCTTAATAACAGTCAAGTATAATTTTATACGAGGTGTTAAACACCTCAAAGAGGTACTTAGTAATTTGTTTCTAAAAAATAAGCTATTTATTATATTAATCAAACTCAAATTAACTCACCTGTAGTTAAGGGGAAATAATCCGAGGTATTCCGTGAGGTAGACACAAATACATAGAATTAATGCCAATCCGCATAGTCCAATGTTCAGATTATCCCACACTGGAAGCTCAACAAAATTACCAAGACAGGGTAAAACAATCCAAATAACCCCAAAGAAAAGAGCCACTGAAAATGGCCTTTCTTTCATCTTGTTTTCCCTAAAACTATTCTTGGGAGTTACTCCGGTAAGACTGGACCGGAAAAGGAAACACTTGACTGTCCAGGCGAAGTCTAGGTAGTGAGGACCGATGAATCCTACAATGCATCGCAGTAAGGTGATGACGTTATATTTCCCATGAGTCTCTTCTTACGGTACTTGTGATTTCGTTTCGCCATATTAGCCGAGCTATTACTGAAATTGATAAATATTGCTGGTAGTTTGGGAGATAATCGCGGATTTCAGCTTTGAATTTGGCGAAGGATGAAGCCGAGAAGAATGTCTGATGATGTAGACGGTGAGAATTCGGTTATGAAGACTTGTTGTTGCTGTATGGACGTTCGCCTGGGCACAATTGTGCTAGGATTTTGCCATCTGGTAAGCAATCGTGAGATTGCGACGCTCTCCTTCTCAGTATTTAGTTTATTTAGTTCTGATGTTTGTAATGAAAGCTGTAAGCTTATGCCGGCTTTTCAAACACTAGTATTGGTTGCTTCATGTGATCTGTTTATTCTAAGTTCAGCTTCCGCACTGTAAGTCGTCGGATTCGATAGCTTCGGATCATTCTTCCGGATGAAGATACATTTAGCAATTTACTACTTCTTACAAACATTTATTTCGGCAATGAATTATTTTTGTTTATTTCATTTATTATTAGATTCTTGAAGGTTAATTAGAAGCCGGTCGACGAAAGAAACCAAAAGTTACGAACGCTTTAACACACCATATGCGTATTGATCTTATTCCTTTTCGATTTCAACTGCGTTGTTCCTATTATTAATCATGGGTATTACATATTTATGGCTGAAAGGGAAAATGTTATTTAAGCATGCTGAAAGTCGAGCTGCTGATATTTTGTAAGAAAAGTGATACTCTTTTTTTCAATATTACCAGTATTTTTTGTTTGTCCAATACTGTTACTTACGTATAAT